TGAAAATGTACTTCTCAGAGGAGGTCGACTATTTCAACAATGGATTGTTGATAGTTATATAAAAGTTGAGAAAGATCGGATCACTTATGACAAATTGAATCAGAAGAAACTTCGTGCTGATACATACCAAAACTTGATCGACCATCTACAGCGAAGAGCAACTGAGACTAACAATCGTGTAAACAAAATTGTAATACTGCCTTCATCATTCGTAGGTTCTCCTCGCAATATGCTACAACATTATCAAGATGCGATGGCGATTGTGAGACAGTTTGGGAAACCTGATCTGTTCATAACAATGACTTGCAATCCTAACTGGCGAGAAATCAGAGAAAATCTACTGCCAGGTCAGACTGCATCCGATAGACCCGACATTGTCTCCAGAGTTATCTGTATTAAAAAAGGCAGTCTGATCAAAGACCACACGTCTTTGATCTACCACATGTTCATTTACTTTTGACCTTGAACCAAAATTATAAAATCACTATGGCTGAAGTTGTCGATAAATACATTTCTGCAGAAATTACGAGATCTGACGAAGATTCCGAGTTACATGAAATTGTTATGGAGAATATGATTCACGGTCCCTGTGGTGCTTGGTGTAAAGATGGGAAAGGTAAATGTACGAAATATTTCCCGAAAGACTTTCAAGAGAACACAACACTAGATGAAAATGGATATTCAACATATCGTCGTAGGAATAGAGGAGTCTATGATCGTCCCAGTGGAGGCACTGCTGATAATCAGTATGTAGTTCCTTTCAACCCTACGTTGTTGAAATTATACAACTGTCATATAAACGCAGAAGTTGTTTCTAGCATCAAGTCTGTGAAGTATTTATATAAATATGTGTACAAAGGACATGATACTGCCGCATGATACTGCCGCTGTAGAAATTCAAGAATCGGGGCATGGTGACAAGGAAATTCACCATGACGAAATTCGCAATTTCTTGGAAACACGATAGGTCAGTCCTGTTGAACCTTGCGATCGTATATTCAGTCACCACCTACAAGAAAAAAGTCATTCTATTACACGGCTTCCTGTCCATCTTCTAAATCAACAAAGTGTGACTATTGATGATGCAGGTGATGATGAGATCATCAGAATAGCCGTGGAGAAACAAACAATGTTAATTGAGTATTTCGCTTTGAATGAACGTGATGCAGAGGCGCGAATATTTACGTATTCAGAAATCCCTCGCCATTACGTGTTCAAAAAAAGCTCTGGTATCTTCAGATGGGAAAAACGGAAGTCTCAATTCAAGGTCATCGGAAGAATGTATTCCATATCACCAAGTCAAATTGAACTATTCCATCTTCGATTATTATTGATAAAAGTCATAGGTGCTACCAGTTTTCAAGATCGTAGAACAGTTAATGGTCAAATACACGATACGTACCACGCTACGTGTTTAGCATTAGGACTGATTGCAAACGATGAAGAATGGGAGCACGCCATGACTCAGGGAGAAGTTTGGATGACGTCTCAACAACTGAGACATCTCTTCGTTCGGATCTTGATTCACTGTCAGCCAAATCATCCCGAGCTACTCTGGGAGAAATTCAAAGAAGCAATGTCGCAGGATTTTCGAAGAGAATTTGATGAATTTGAAGCAGAAAGAAGGTACATTAGAATAAATTCCTATCTCTCTCATGAAGGTTCTGACTTAACTAACTTTCCGACAATGCCACCGATACAAGAACTGGCTGATGATAATGAGCAAAATTTTAATGATGAAAGATCGTGCGATCGACATCAAGAAGTTGGAATATGAAAAATTGACTGTCAAACAAAAAGAAATTGTTGACAAAGTCTTAAACGTTGCAACATTAAACACTATTACATCATCTAATACATGTTTCTACATTGACGGACCAGGTGGATCCAGGGAGACATTTATCTACACTACACTCTTCCATTTATTAACAGGCATGAACAAAAAGACCTGGACAATGGCATTTACGGGAATTGCAGCAATATTACTGCCACACGGAAAAACTGTACACAAAACATTCGGGATGCCTGTTCCTCTTTTTTCGCATTCTGTATCAAATATTAAAAATCAATCGCTCAGTATTTGCGAGAAGTTAACGTTTTCATTTGGGAGGAAGCTCCGATGGCACCAAGATATGCTTTGGAATTGGTTGATAGAGCACTACGCGACTTCATGAGTAATGATTATTCCTTTGGTGCCAAAATTATGATTTTAGGTGGAGATTTCAGATAATTACTACCTGTAAAAATGCACGCAACTCGATATGAATTGGTTAATTTATCGATAAAGTTCAGCGGGTTATAGAGGCATTTCAAATTATTTTCTCTGACGAAAAATATGCGAACCCTTCCAAATAAAGTAGAATTTGCAAAATACCTACTTTCAGTTGCTAATGGTACCTTGAACGATAAGGACGATAATTTAATAGTGCCAGAACAATGTGCAGCTCGCAGAACTGAAGATATGGTCGAAACCATATTCCAGCAGATCGTGAAAGAGAAGAGATTTGATGATCTTGCAAAAGTGGTGGTATTAGCTGCACGTAATATAGATGTAGAAGAAGTGAATCAAAGAGTAGTTGATCTATTTGACAAAACCACTGAGAAAGTTTATACCAGTGTGGACAGCGTTGACAATTGTGATAACGGAGATATCACAGATGTAATTTCACCAGAATATCTCAACACTTTGAATCCACCAAGTTTTCTTCCATATGAACTGAGATTAAGGAACAATTGCATTGTCATACTCATTCGAAATATCAGCATAAATGAAGGTTTTTGTAATGGGATGCGATTACAAATTTTGGAACTCTCTAATAATCTTTTACGATGTCGAATTCTGACAGGTGATAAAGCAGGCGACATTGTATTCATACAGTGTGTCCCATAGGAATGTGTAAAAACTAAACTCATCTGCCGACTCATCCAAAATAACCTTGACTCTCTACGTTTGTGTTACGCTTACTGGGGGCCAGTCAGTTTTACTCTAACTGTGGCAGGAGCCTTAGTTTGTCAGCAGTAATGAGTGATTTGACAATTCGAAAAAAAAGATATCCCATCGAGTGTTCTATTCCAGGGGGAAAAAATACTGTGAAGCTTTTAAAGGGTTTCGTACTAAATTTGGATCCAAACGAGTTGCTAGCGAGACCACTTTGAGGAGGTTAGAATAATTTTTTTTTCATATTGATTGTGTGACACAATAAAACACATTACAAATTTTCGTAGAAATCCCGTTGGTTTCTAGTCATGATAATATTCTTTTTCTAGAATAATTGAAAATTTCGAGGAATACGGTACTTTGGATGATCGTAGAGCTACCCTTCCAGGTCCCTCATTCTCTGCTGCAACAGAGGAGAAGGTCGATGAAGGTGAACAGTATTTCAAGGCAAATCCCAACTCGTCCATTCGGAGAGCCACTCAAGATTTAAAATTGACCAAATCAACGTTGCATCGCATTCTCCACGTTTTTCTTAAAACTTCATCCATATAAAATATTGATGTGTCAGCGTTTGACAGAGGAGGCGATTCTGAGACGAAAGGAATTTTGTGAAAGAAGGACACAAATGTTCGAAAATGGCGAGCTGCATGAAACAGCAATTGTTTTTTCTGACGAGACACTTTTGGCTAGACAACTACGTGAATGAAAATAATTTGAGATTGTGGGGCTCCGAAAATCCTAATTTTTTGGTTACAACATCTTCCCATTCACAGAAAGTCACTGTTTGGGCTGTTCTCTTCATGAAGGGTGTCTATCTACATTTTTTCGAATCTACCGTTACCGGGAATGAGTACAAAAGAATGTTAGAAACAAAAGTCTTCCCTCATGCGAGAAAAAGAGGGCTTATCAATGGATTTTATTTTATGCAGGATGGAGCAGCTGCCCACCGTACTCACGAAGTTTTTCAAATTCTTAATACAGTTTATCGCGGTCGAGTTCTTGGTTTGGGATATCCAAAATTTTGTGGAGGGGGAATAGATTGGCCACCCTATTCACCAGATTTGAATCCGTGTGATTATTTCCTGTGGGGTTACACAAAAGATAAACAACATTAAACTGTTCACGGTATTCCACAGGAAACATTAGAACGTGTATTCCACGGTTTTAGGAAACGTTTGGATTATTGCGCCAGTGTTGATGGCTCCCAGTTCAAAAACATTTACTATTAATCGCACTTGTTACGTACAATTTTTGTAAGCTACTATTTTTGTTGGGTGAATTACATGTTTCAATAATGAATATACGGTGAAATAAAAATGACAATTCTCCTTTATCAGGAACTGTATTCTTTCTCTTTTTCCCTGTTTCCAGTGAAAAAAAATAATCAAACAGTTTTCACATATTCCCATGGGACACCCTGCACATCGTGTTACGTTATATTGTGAGGACGTATATCCATTTACTTTCAAACGACGACAATTTCCAATTAAATTAGCATTTGTGATGACAATCAATAAAAGTCAGGGTCAAACCTTTCATCGAATTGGAGTAGATCTTCGTAAAGATGTTTTCAACCATGGACAATTATATATTGCTTTTTCAAGGGTTCGATCATGGAATTCATTAGAGATTTTTCTAGGAGGACAACGCACGAATAATATCGTCAAAAACGACGTATACACAAAATTGTATTCATAAAATTTCGACAAAACTAATCACCATCATTTTCATTCATTCATACTTCGGAAATGATTTACGTAATCGTGATTTTTGAAAAAAATAATAATCGATTCATGAAAATTATTGAGCCATAAAATTGATATGAAATCTTCACCAGCGCGCGCGCAGCGCGCGTTCGGTCTCGTTTTAAGAAAAGATAAGTAAAGATGGTGGGGAAACTTCCCAGTGAAGATGTTTCATAATAATTTCTGTAGAATGCACTGATTGGCATGACATAACGAGATAACGTTAATGTGATGTTCCAAAATATACCTTCCCTTAACGTATTATTGCTGAAGTAAATCCTCTACGATTTTCTGTTCTAAAAAAAATTAATCGATAGGGTTGGAATGACGTCGGTTTCCACGGATCTAATCAGATCCCAACCCCGAATATCGACGCTCTTGCTTACAATGGTGTTATTCTGAACAATCATTATACTGGTGCGGTATGCACTCCGAGCAGAGCAGCATTGTTAACGGGAAAATCTCCTATTAATCTTGGAATGCAACACTTGGCTCTCGGGGCAACGGAACCGAGAGGCCTTCCACTGACTGAAAAATTACTGCCTCAAGTATTTCTCTCATTTTATTGTTACTGAATATCAATGGTAGTACAGATCAGACGAAAGTTTAATGATGATCATTTATGAAAATTTCAGTATCTAAAGGAAGGAGGATATACCACCCACATCGTTGGAAAATGGCACTTGGGATTCTATAAAAAAGAATACACTCCAACGTTTCGAGGTTTCGATTCTCATTTCGGTTACTGGAGTGGGCATCAGGATTACTATAATCATGAGTTCGAGTCATCTGTAAGTTTTTTTTTATCGTTATTTTATATCACTTTGACCCGGTTAGGGTATACTGCGATGATGACCAAGACTTTAAATGGTTAGATCGCACCATTCTACCCGGCCGGGATTTGAGCTCGGAGCCTTCCCCATGTGAGGCAACGAACTTACTCACTGTGCGAAGCCACCGGGGCATCTGTAAGTTTGATATGGAATTATGTATGTGGGGTATTCCATGTGAACTCACCCAGGTCAAAACCATCACCATCGCCAATCATATTACCGATTTTCCCTGTGGTTGCATATGGAAAAATATGACTTCTCAAATTATTTCAGATTTCTGAGGAATCCTGTGGACAGCCATGTTTTATTGCAAGTTTTATCTTCAAATGCCTGTAACTTCCGTAAAAATCAACCGATTTGATTTTTTTTTTACAAAATGTGTTTTTTTACTAAATGTGATTTTTAGCGTAATTTACGCTTCAACTTCAAACGTAAAATACGTTTTCGAAAGCGTAAAATACGACTTCTTAAACGTAATTTACGTTTAGGTTTTTCTGTGTGTACAAAATGGGCGTCTTCGAACCCACTTTCCATATAAAAATGTGCCAATTTTTTTCAATTCGTTCTTCCATTCAAAAATTCAAATAGAATTAAAATTTAGAGAGAAAAAATTCCGATTCGCCCAGCCGGGATTCGAACCCGGGTCTCCCAGTTACGCGCCGGGCACTCTTACCGACTAAGCTACCGGGAACCACGGAAATTCTCACTCCAAATTCAACTCAGCACGCCGCCTAACCACCTTTAGGCATTAAATAAATTCAAATAGAATTAAAATTTAGAGAGAAAAAATTCCGATTCGCCCAGCCGGGATTCGAACCCGGGTCTCCCAATTACGCGCCGGGCACTCTTACCGAATAAGCGATTTCCTCAGAAAAACCTCAAAAAATTTCAAAAAACGAGTCGTTCTCAAAGTTGGACCCTTTTTATATTTTTTAAAAAATTTCAGTGAATAGATTGGACTAAAACAAAATTTTTCACCAAAGGCCAAAGTGAGCTTCCCATTTCGTGGCCGTCATTTCCAATTTGAATATATAAATCCGGGATGAGAAATTTAAAAAATTTCAACATTATTTTCGTATTTGAACGCAGAAGCATTATTTAAATTTACCGCCTGAAGAATCACTGCATTATGTTCGAATCTGGAACAATTTGATGATTTTTTGAAAATTCGTTAACAATACATCCTTCCAAGTGGTGTGTTCTAATAGAGATCCCACTTTGGCCTTTGGTGAAAATTTTTATTTTGGTCCAATATATTCACTAAATTTTTTTGAAAAATATAAAAAGGGTTCATCTTTGAAAACGACTCGTCTTTTGAAGTTTTTTGAGGTTATTTTGAGGAAATCGATGGAAGCACGAATTGAAAAAAATTGGCATATTTTTATATGGAAAGTGGGGTTGAAGACGCCCATTTTGTACACACAGAAAAACCTAAACCTAAATTACGTTTAAGAAGTCGTATTTTAAGATTTCGAAAACGTATTTTAAGTTTGAAGTTGAAGCGTAAATTACGCTCAAAATCGGCGTAAATTACGATGACATGAACGTAATTCACGATTTTGTAATCGTAAATTACGCTTAAAGTCGCCGTAAATTACGATTACATAAACGTAATTTGCAACAATTATGAGCGTAATTTACCATTGCAAAATCGTAAATTACGATTATACATCGTAAATTACGCTCAAAATCGTCGTAATTTACGATCTCGTAGTCGTAAATTACGCTCTAAGTTGTCGTATATTACCATGATTTTTTCGTATTTTTTATCAACGTAATTTACGTTTTGATAAACGTAAAAGACGCTTTGTTTACACTGTTGAAAATTTTTGTCTGAATTTTCCGTGCCAAATTCTGGAAATTTTTATCGCGTTTTAATTCCACTGAAATTTCAGGAAATCTTGTCATTGAGAATTCAGAATCTCGTGGAAAAATAAAACAGAACTGTAAATTCCCGTTCCATTTTTCCTGAAAATGAATAGAAAACCAGAAAATCGTGGTAAATATATTCTTGAATTTTCAGGATAGTGACACTGAATGCGATTTAGAGGGAACAATAGAATAGAAATTTAAGGGGATAGTACTATGATTTTTAAAAGTCGTGGGATATTAGAGTGACATTTCTCATGCATTGAAGATCGATTATATATGTCTAAAAACGAATAATTAGTGCAAAAAAACTAATTGTTTATTGTTCGTTTGCCCCGCAGACGCTTAAAATGTTGAAAATAGTCCAGGGCCTCCAATTTTTGACCAACAAAGGTTTCTTTTCAAAATTTTTGAAAAAATGTGTACAATAACAATTACGAATTAGTTTTCTGAAATTCGACTCCTATACAACTAATTCCGTTTTGTTTACTATAAAAATTTGCGCCATTCATGTAAAATAGGCAGAAAAATTATCCTTAAAATATTAAAAATATATTCTTGATTCTTTCAGAAATATTTTTCACGCTATTCTACATGAATGGTGCAATTTTTTTATTAAAATAATAACAAAATTAGCCGTGTAGGAGTTCAATTTCAAAAAACCAATTCGTAATTGTTATTGTACATATTTTTTCAAGAAATTTGTGAAAAAAGAAACCTCTGTAGCTCAAACATTGGAGGCCCTGGACTATTTTCAATATCTTAAGCGTTTGCGGGGGAAACGAACAATAAACAAGTCGTTTGTTGCACTAATTATTCGTTTTCAGACATGTATTATCGATCTTCAATGTATGAGAAATGTCATTCCAATAGCCCGCGACTTTTAAAACTCATCATAGTGGTCTCCCCTTAACACTAAATATTCTTATTAGATTGGAGAAATAAATTGAGGAATTCTCGTCTTTATGCCCCTTAAAATTCTGGAATTTTATTGAATTTTCAGTGAAACCTGGAATTTCATGATTTTTTTCCCCTAAATCGCATTCAGTGTCACTGTCCTGAAAATTGATAGTCAAGTGTCCATGAAATTTAATTTTTTTTTACCAGTGTAGGCGTAATTACGATTGTAATTCGTAAACTACGATTTATTTAGGCGTAATTTACGTTTTTATTTCGACTGTAAAATACGTTTTTTTAAAACCTAAATTCCGATTTTCATGACGGAAAAAAAAGCCACCAGACATCATATTGACGTTAGCGACGTTATTGACGTATTGACGTTAAGCGTAAATTACGCTCATCAATACGTAATTTACGTTTAGCAAAACATAATTTACGTTTAGGTTTTTCTGTGTGTAAAAAAAAACTCAAATCGGTTGATTTTTACGGGAGTTACAGGCATTTGAAGATAAAACTTGTAAAAAAAAACATGACTGCCCACAGAATGCCTCAGAAAATCTGAAAAAATTTGAGAAGTCATATTGTTCCATATACAACCACAGGAGAAATCGGCAATATGATTGGAGATGGTGAGGATTTAGACCTGGGTGAGTTCACATGGAATACCCCTCATACATAATTCCATATCAAACTTACAGATGCTCCGATCTGCTTTAAACCAACTATGTCCTGTAAAAATTGTTCAATTCTCTTGCGGTCCAGCCTAGACATGGTTGCCCTGACTTGTTTGCAAGCCTTGGTGTTCTTCTTGATTCAGTTTATAGCATGGGCGAGGAGACCTTTTACTGGCAGAGATTGTATTTCAACTTCTGTTCCTTTCTTTACCAGCTCGTACGCTGTCTAGTTTCCATGGATGCCTTCATGGGCCGCGACCCAAACCAAGATAAACTTGATTTTCTTTCCTAGGTTTTCCAGTGCTCAGAAAAAAACCGGGAACCGTTTTCCGTGGTTCCCGGTAGCTTAGTTGGAAGAGTGCCCGGCGCGTAACTGGGAGACCCGGGTTAAAATCCCGGCTGGGTGGATCGGGAATTTTTCTCTCTAAATTTCAATTCTATTTGAATTTTTTTTACTGGAACGTACGGTGGTGTACGCCGTGGTAATTTGGGCCACCGTGGCGTACATCCATCTGAGTAATAAATCCATTTTGAACACCCATAGGATGATTTCGCGACTAAAGCCCCAATTCCTTTCCCAGGCTCTTTTACATGCCAACAGAGAGGCCTATGTTTTGTCTTTCTCTACTGTTATATGCTGTCTCCAATGGAGCTTGGTATCAAGGTAAACTCCTAAGTACTTGACTGAAGTCGTATATTCTTCACACCATCCAGAATCAGTGGTTCTGAGATAGCGACTATATATTTCGTGGTGAAGATCATGGCTGACGTATGTTCAACGTTAATTGATAGTTTCGTCTTAACACACAATTTTTTGAATATCGTTAGGGCATAGTTTCGCCTGTGTCTTAGTACGTTGCGGAATTTTCCCCTGGTCACCATTGCTTCATCGTCCGCGTAGCCATCTAGAAGCCTTCTTCCCTCAATTTCTCTAAAAGTTAATCCTGTAATAGGCATCACATGAGCAGGGACACTATGCTCCTCTATTTTCCTATTTGCCAATCAGTCAACGACACTCTCCAGTCAATGACATGCTCAGTGTGCAATACTCGGTGGAATATCACAATTTTTGAGTTATTTGGTTCAAAGAACAATTGCAAAGCTAAGAAGAAATATTTATCAAAATACTGATCTGGATGTATTCCATGAATAATGTACTCTGGTAGGTCGTAACACGCGATGTTGAATAGTACAATTCTATTAGCTTAAATTACGATAGGAAAAATTAGAAATAGAAATCGATCACATTTTACGAAATTCCTTGTGTTTCCTGAAATAAATGCAGCAAGTGGTTCAATGACTGGATCTTTTTTAATTCTGAATGATTCACCTGATTCTGAAAATTGAGAGATTTATGATCAATTCGTCTAGAATACCTTTCCTGTAATGAATTTCGATTTCTTGAACTCTTCCATTCTGGATATATTTACAGAAAATAATGTTTCATAGCCCGGTGGCTTGGCGCAGTGGGTAGGTTCGTTACCTCACATGCGAAAGGTTTCGAGTTCAAATCCCGGCCGGGTAGAATGGTTCGATCTAACCATTTAAAGTCTTGATCATCATCGCAGTATACCCTAACCGGGTCGAAGCGATTTAAAATAACGATAAAAAAAAATAATTTGTACTTGATTTTTTTAATTCATTCCTTGTTACCATTTCACTACAGATAAAATATGTTTCGATTTCTTCGGTTGTAGGATAATTATCGTGGTTACGATATGAGAAGAAATATGTCAGTTTCATACGAAACTAAAAATCGCTACTCCACAGATCTTTATACAGAAGAAACCGTTCGATTAATTGACACTCATGATAAAACTACCCCAATGTTCATATATCTTGCACATGCTGCTGTGCACAGTGGAAATTCAGAGAATCTTTTGCAAGCACCGGATGAAGAAGTAGTGAAGTTCTTCTACATCAGTGACCCGGAAAGGAGAAAATACGCAGGTAATTCTATAATTCTACATATATTGAAATTATGAAGAAGCAATCAGAGGAAGAATCCTGTGATGCATCATCGGAATGTCTTCTGATATCAACCTTTGTATCTCTAATTGAGATTATACTCATGATCCTACTGATTTCTATCCGCATTATCAGTTAATTATGACTAATGGGATGTTAAAAAAAACAGTGAACGACAAGTTTGTTTTACTCAGCTGGGGTTCCATAATTATGTCCTTTTAATTACTAATTTCCAAGTAACGATCCCGTTTTTGAATTCATTAATGCAATTATCGTCTTCCGGTTGTTATAATGGCCATGATTTTAATTGTAACTGTTATGTTATGGTTATCATTCCGGTTATGTTGCTCTGATAGTTCTCGTAAATTGACACAGATTATTTGGATCTGTTAATTTCGATTTTGTTCATGGCCATGACTGCAATTTTTCTTTGCTTCCGTATGGAACCATTGTCATCTTCAAAATTTAAATTTCCAGGTTTTTGTTTGGGCATAACTAATATTGAGAATCAGAATAAAATTTTGTGAGAACATATAATATACGTTTTTATATGACCAATTTTTCGCGTTCTTCTCAGTAGCTAAATTTTCAAAAAGATTGGAGAAATCTCCAGAAAATTATAAAATTTTCGATGATACCTCACCTTGAATGCCTTTACTGTCAAAATACTATTGAAATACAAAAGAAGACAATCATTGTACGCAATAACAACACATAAGAGAGCTTCAATACTAATATTACACAAACCATCAATTAAATAATTGAAAAAATCGTAATTTGAACAAACAATTCACAGAGTTCTTAGAATTCTTTAATGCCTAAAGGAGGTTAGGCGGTGTTTGAGGTGAATTTGAGAGTGAATTTCTGTGGTTCCCGGTAGCTTAGTCGGTAAGAGTGCCCGGCGCGTATCTGGGAGACCCGGGTTCGATTCCCGGCTGGGTGAAGCGGAAATTTTTCTCTCTAAATTCTAATTCTCTTGGGATTTTTTTTTTTTTTTTTTCAAGTATAATTTCTTCCTTGAACGTATTTATCAGATAATCACTAATTTAAATTGACCACTATTTGGAGTCATGAAATAATTTTCACTGATATTAGGCCTCTGAGGTGAATAGGTGGTACTCCTAAGGAATAGGGCAGACCGAAGCATAATGGGGTACATAAAAAAGGGATGGGTGCAACTGGACACAGTCAACTGAACACATCGCAACTGACCACAGATCTGGTAAATTCGGCAACTGAACACACACGTAAATACAAGAGGGTGAAACGTAGTGATATTGTCAACTTAGTCTTCCCTATCGAAGAAGTCAGTTGATGATATACATGGGAGATGGCGCTGATAGGTTTAAAACGGAGGAATGAGAATTACTTGTATATAGTGTTAGCTAACTATGGGAGATGACGAAGAACTATTGCAGGAGCATCAATAATCAGAATATTAATATGTCAAGTATCGTAAGAACATCGTCAATCAATCGAACAAGAGTGAGGTGGTCATTCGCTAAGGTGTAACAAAACAAAGTATTGTCCAAGTCTCGTAATAAAATCGAATAAAAATAATTCAAAGTATTTTCACGCAAAGTATCGATAATACCTCGTAATATTATGGTAAAAGTGTGAGGCAGGTATCGGACAGAATATTAATATGTCAAGTATCGTAAGAACATCGTCAATCAATCGAACAAGAATGAGACAGTCACCGGTCGCAGTGTTTCAAAGCCAAGTATCGACCAAGTCTCGGAGTAAAATCGAAAAAAAATAATTCAAAGTATTTTCAAGCAAAGTATCGATGATACCTCGTAATATTATGGTAAAAGTATGAGGCAGGTATCGGACAGAATATTAATATGTCAAGTATCGTAAGAACATCGTCAATCAATCGAACAAGAATGAGACAGTCACCGGTCGCAGTGTTTCAAAGCCAAGTATCGACCAAGTCTCGGAGTAAAATCGAAAAAAAATAATTCAAAGTATTTTCAAGCAAAGTATCGATGATACCTCGTAATATTATGGTAAAAGTATGAGGCAGGTATCGGACAGAATATTAATATGTCAAGTATCGTAAGAACATCGTCAATCAATCGAACAAGAATGAGACAGTCACCGGTCGCAGTGTTTCAAAGCCAAGTATCGACCAAGTCTCGGAGTAAAATCGAAAAAAAATAATTCAAAGTATTTTCAAGCAAAGTATCGATGATACCTCGTAATATTATGGTAAAAGTATGAGGCAGGTATCGGACAGAATATTAATATGTCAAGTATCGTAAGAACATCGTCAATCAATCGAACAAGAATGAGACAGTCACCGGTCGCAGTGTTTCAAAGCCAAGTATCGACCAAGTCTCGGAGTAAAATCGAAAAAAAATAATTCAAAGTATTTTCAAGCAAAGTATCGATGATACCTCGTAATATTATGGTAAAAGTATGAGGCAGGTATCGGACAGAATATTAATATGTCAAGTATCGTAAGAACATCGTCAATCAATCGAACAAGAATGAGACAGTCACCGGTCGCAGTGTTTCAAAGCCAAGTATCGACCAAGTCTCGGAGTAAAATCGAAAAAAAATAATTCAAAGTATTTTCAAGCAAAGTATCGATGATACCTCGTAATATTATGGTAAAAGTATGAGGCAGGTATCGGACAGAATATTAATATGTCAAGTATCGTAAGAACATCGTCAATCAATCGAACAAGAATGAGACAGTCACCGGTCGCAGTGTTTCAAAGCCAAGTATCGACCAAGTCTCGTAATGAAATCGAATAAAAATAATTCAAAGTATTTTCACGCAAAGTATTGATGATTCCTCGTAATATTATGGTAAAAGTGTGAGGCAGGTATCGGACAGAATATTAATATGTCAAGTATCGTAAGAACATCGTCAATTAATCGAACAAGAATGAGACTGTCACCAGTCGCAGTGTTTCAACGCCAAGTATCG